CCAAGTTGAGGGAGAAGAGGGAACTCTAGAGTGAGAGCTAGTATCTTTCTTGCCTAGCCGGTCTTCAGAACTATTCAAACTATATATTAGCTAATGTTATTTATAGAATCTCTAGTAAGGTTGAAGAATATTATTGCTCCTATTTAGCACAACACAATTAACATACTTCAACAAAAAAAAATTTATATTTATCATTGATTCATGATAAAGAAAAAGATATTTTATTTATATTGCCTTCATCTTGCAAGTATTTTAGTTAATTTAATTAGTTGCGTACTTTATTATCAAATTATCAAAAATTATAAAAAGAATCAAACTTTCATTTCTAATTTAGCATCTTAAGTTTATGTAAGAATATACTGCTAAGTAAAATTTTGTTATCTAAATCTAGTTCTCCCTGTGGGTTCGATATTCGGGACATAATAAAAAAGTTCTATATTACTTGATAATGATAAGTATACTTGCGTAGTATCCCATATTTAAAATTATAGCTGCATTCTTATTTGCTTCAAAGTGAAATATTTACTTAACTTTTGCTTGACACCAAGTTTTTGGCTCCGTTGCAAATTAAAAATATCTATTAAGGAAATTAATCGCATACATCGCATTTTACATTTATCTGTATAAAAAATCAGGATCATCAGCTCTACAGGATGCCTCGTTACTCTGTAATTTATGTCAAGATTGTGTAACGTATGTTGTAATTTGTAAGGGATTTTGTTGCCATGTGTAGAGGTGGCCAAAGGTGGCCCGCGAGCAGTGGTGAATGGTGGCTGACGGTGACAGACTAGTGGTGGTCGATATTGTTTGGCAGATGCAAGAGTGTTTAGCATTTGTTGAATCTATAATGCAGAAATGACAATGGGCTTCAGCTCTTTCTTCTCATGATCCTTCTTCATGCCTAACTCTTGGTCTCTTCTCAAGAGAGGGATAGAGATTAAATTATAGAGTTTGGGAGAGGCCTCCTTGTAAAAAAAGAAAGAATCTGGACCACTTCATCGGATGATCCGGAGAGATTCCCTCGATCAGATGATATTTTATGGATGTTTGAGTGCCTTAATAATGTCAGAATTGTGTGTTCTTGGGCTTGTTAGATTTGAATTTTTGAAATACTCGATTTTACTATAAACTTAGATTTGAAATCCATTTGACATTCTAATTGAGCACTTGAAGCTTTTGAAAATGGTTTAACGATTTGATATGAGCTTGATTTGACTAGGATGATACAAACTTAGGTGTCATTGTGTTTGTCTCGTCATGCTGTTCTGTTTATTTATAAGTTTACTGAAATAGGAGTTCCAGATGATTTTTAGATAAGATTTGCATGGTCTTTACTAAATAGATTGGCTTGAGATCCATGCCTAATGATACAAATTAATTGTTGTCTTAACAATTCTCTAAGGGACCATTTGGTTTGCTAAAAATACAATGCAATATTAAAAGTTTACAGAGTACTATGGTAACAATGTATTTGAAATATTCTCTAGTTGTTTGGTTAACTGTAAAAGAAATGCAGAACTTTATATTTTTTTGTTTGGTTTGAAGTAAATTGAAAATAATATATTTACTTAGGCAAAGGGCAGCGAACGACGGTTAGTGGGCAATAATGGGTGCGAGGGAGCGGCAGGTGGAGGGCGGCTGCAGTCAGAGGGTAGCAGGTAGGCGGCGGACGAGTAGTGGACGATGAGCGGGCAGCGGGCGGGTGGTGGGCCAGGTGGTAGCGACTGGTAGCTGGTGGCAGGGCGCATCAACAGCGAGCAATGAGTGGGTTGTGGAGGGCAGCACACTGCGGGCTGCGTTGGGCAGCAGGCTGCGGGCGGCGGGCAGGCAACGACAACCTGCCACAAGCGGGCGGTGGCGACAGTTGGCCTATAATATTTTACATGAATGATGTAATTCAAATTCATCCAAATTGGTTGAAATCAAAATTCAGTCAAAACGAACTACAATATAAACTTCAAATTTATATTGTATTTATAAATTTTCACACCAAATATAGAAAATTTTTAAATCCCTGCAAAAGATTTACAGTACACCACTAATTTACTCAACCAAACGGTGCCTAAAACAACACAAAAATCCATTAGAGTTTCTCACGGTAGGTTAATGGAAAGATTGCCTTTTTTATACTGTATTTATATAATTAAAGATGTAAAAATTCATTCAAGGTTGAAGTTTCTTCCGAATATAATCCGCAATAACAAATTTGCAACAAAATTTTAAACCTATTATTACCTATAAAGATAACTAAGATATATTAGCACTTAACCAGATCACCTCATTTAAATTTTAAATTTTGTACTCCAATTATCGGAACAATGTTATCAAACAGTTAAAAAACGGGAAATCGATTTATAGAAGGCATGCTTATGATTAAACATGCGAATTCCTTGCTTATTCCCTTTATTAATCTTTCATATAGAAGCTTGGTCATGCAATTATAGCGTGTAGCGATTCTTTACCGAAAGGTGCTATTTGGGTACTTATTTTTAATAAGGTACAAGTTGTTTTCATTTTTTGGTGGAACTAAATATGAGACAACAAATTAAAAGTTTGATTGATTCCAAAAAGAAAGAAGAAAAAAAAAAAAGACAAATCCATATTATACACATTAAGAACAAAACTTCCCTTTAATTTCTCAAAAACAAAACTTCCTTTTAATTTCTCTAAACTTTGGCGTCTTAACCTTCATATGAAATCACTCATATCTAACAAGTCAGGAATCTGGAAATCAAGACTGCTGCAATATGTATCTTTTTCGTCTTCCTTACTGCTTTGAACGTTTGTAGTAGAAGAGTTGTTCAAGGTCACGCTGGACGCAGACGTCGATATTACAGAATCAAGATTGCTGCATAGCTTCTGGTAGCTAGGATTTTCAGCATTGGATGCCTCATATAATAGACTAGACATTGATTGCTCCATATTCTCATAGCTATAATTATTTTTATTATTATTAGCCACCAAACTTTCACCTAAATTGCTGGAGCTCGCTTCGTTGTATCGCCATTGACTATCATTGCCCATTTGAATCGGATTATATATTAAAGATGACGGAAGCTGTGGCGTTATCGTTTGCCGATAAGTTGGCTGTGATTCATGAACCTGGTTGCGTTTTAAGAGATTTTGGTTTTGGTTTTGGGACTGCAGAAGATTGGCAGCAAGTCTCAGGAACTCGGCGTTCAGCTGAGCCGGTTGGTTGAAGAGCACGGCGTTGAGAAGAGAAGATAAGTTGAGGAGATCGAGCCGCGGCCTGTGTGTGACCGGGTCGATTCCCGATCGAAGAAGCCTCTTTCTGATATGAGTGTTCCAGTAGTTCTTGATCTCATTGTCTGTTCTTCCAGGCAAGCGCGCAGCGATGGCCGACCATCTGAACGGTTAGCACAACATCAGTTAAGTTGCTAGAAGCATGAAAAATATGCCTGATTAATTTATATATTTAGGGTTTGGTTTTTACTTGTTGCCCAATACACTGTGGAGCTGGATGATGGTCTCCTCCTCTTCCAAAGAGAACCTTCCTCTCTTTATGTCTGGACGTAGATAGTTTGCCCATCGAAGCCTGCAGCTCTTCCCACATCGCGCCAGGCCTGGAAATTACATGGTCACTGAACTCAAACCTAGTTCTAATTACTGAGAAATAAGAAATTGGACTTGTAATTTCACGGTTGTCGGATAGAAATTAATTTTTTTTCAAATCTGTATACAAAATTAATTCAATATGTGGCCTGGCTATGTAGTAGCTGCACATATTGCCATGATATTGTAAGATATGTTCAAATAAACATTTGTTGGCAAATTGAAGGTTTTTATTTATAGCAGAATTATAGTTAACGAAAAAATTAACAATAATGAATACCTGCATTTTTGGGGAGGGTACGCCAGGTGCCATGGCCATGTTTCTGTATGTAGTCGATGAGTTTCTGGTCCTCCTCTGGCGTCCATGGACCTTTCTTTAAACCGTTCTTATCGCAGCAAGGAACTCTTCCCATATATCCAGACTCAGGCTTCGCTTCTCGAGCTTTTAGAATAGGAAACTGAGGTAGAATGGAAGAGAAGTTAAGATGAATATGGGCATAAATAAGTGCTGGAAGGAGAAGAGGAAGGAGAAGTCAAAGGGAGTTGGTTTGGTTCTTTGCTCATCAATAAAGTAACGTGGCCCAGCATTTGTGGGTTAATTGTAAAACAATGTATTGCGCGCCAGATATTCAACGGCCAAAAGCATATATTAAGCTTGCGGAAGCTGCAGTATGCGAGTACGCATGGAAGAAGGCTCTGGAAAGCTTTCCCACTGTGTTAGAGTTGACTCGTGGAGGCCACGCAACCAATAGAATGACGTGAGGTGATTGTTTGTAGGCCCAGCTTATGGACCAATAGGACTTTGTTTTTTTTTTCCTGGAAAATTTACGTATCTAACAAATAATATATATATATATATATATATATA